CAGTAGTTTAAACCAGTTGTTTTTTCTTTATTGAAAGTATCCTGCAGTCAGGCACTTTCCAGTGCACTTACTAATTGTTGTTAATTTCTGTGGTAAGTTAAATTCAAGTCACTTGGAGACATTTTGTGTTGTAGCCTGCTAACTGCTATCCATAGTCCTGTCGACTACCATCTGCATTTCAACTTATTTCTGTTCTTTCTTTGTTTCATATGAATGTCAAAATACCTATCCTGCCTTTTAGTGCTGTAGGGAAGCATTGAGTTGGGGAGAAGTTTCATGTAATTGGAGTTGCAAAGAAAAAGTAACATTTCTTGCTTAATTGTCTCAGTTAACTAAGGTTTTGGAGTTAACACTTTACACTGCCTTTCAGGTGGTAAATTTTATATCTGCCCATAAAATTTTAGGGCTCTGGTTCATCAAAAGCCATAAAAACCATGAAGAATGTTCAAAGTAATTTAGTATTTTCTTTATGTTGGTGTTTGAGAATTCTGTATTGAAATACTGTTCATTTTGGTTTTGTTTTTTATTAATGAAACAAAGATAATTAAAACTTTATTTTTTCCTTGTAGTATATATGTATAATCTGGAGGTTAGAGCAATGGATAAAGTAACTAAAGCTTGTCTGAATCATTAAAATAATTTTTCTTTATGTTAAAGGTACTCAGAAGTATTAGTAAAAGTATGGCACATGCCTTTGCTTAATTGATCAGTGGTTTCAGTTTGTTTCTACAGAGATCTTCCAACACCCATCGTATGTTGGCAAAGCTTTCAGGATTGAATTATTTGCTGGTTTGGAGTTCTTGGAATTCTGTTCACCACAACAAAACTGTCAAGAAAAATTGAAGGGAGCACCGTTTTATGGAGGTAGAGTGGCTGAAAAAGCAGCTATGGTAGTGGAACCATGAGTTTTAGAGAAATCTCTGATGGCCTGTTGATAACTAGAGCAAGAATTTAAGTAGGTTTGTTCAGGCATAGGGAGACGGTGTGAAGAATCATTTCTACTAGATTGTTAGATCTTCAATTGCAGAGGAAAAGGAAGGCAGTTAAAGGGCAAATAAGGAACTTGAAACCAGGTTTACTAACTTCAAAACAGGATATGTTCCTGAGACATTTTCCTGTGTACCAGGACATTGAAGAAAATTATCTATATTTGGAAGTTACATCTGTTGTTGAAATAAAAATAGCAAACAATCCTGAAATATAAAATATAGAGAGGAGAAATGGGGGTGAGGGGGGTATCAAGTGTACAGTTTGCTTACAGTGAGTATTTCTGGAGGGAATTAATTTACTGTTGTGAGATTTAATGGACTGTCAGCCTCTCATGTCAGTGACAGCTTTTGATCAAAGAAAGGGTCTTTTCAATAAACAAATAAACAAACACCAAACTTTTTGTATTCATTCAAGTAGACTGTTGTTTTTCTGCTCAGAACAAGTTGGGAAGACTTTACTGTGATGTTTCCTGGAATCTATAAATCTTACTAATTTTTAAAAAGATGAGTTTAGTTTGACTTTCAGGTCACACTATTTTGAAAACAGTTCTTTTAGTGGGAAGATGGGTTGCTAATAACTAACTTGTCTTTATAGTAGTTTCATGTAGTCTATGAATAACTGTTATAACTGTGTCTGCTAAGTCTGGACAAAAATTTTGACCCTTTTCAATCTTGTGAGGATTTTAATGGCAAAAGAGGGAAGATAGCTATTTAACTCACAAATGTACTGATTGCAGAAGGGTATAAGAATTCATTGAAGTAAAATATATACTATGCTTTAAGATTTATTTTTTTTTAAATGCACAAACTAACATCAGGAAAAAAAAATGCAAATCCTACAATTTTGCTGTTTGTTTCTGCCCCCGTCCCAGGCTAGAGAAAAACCATGTAAATGAACACTGCTTGGAAAAGGGAGCATGTGACAGGCTGCTCAAGATTTGCCCAAATTTAGAAAGGTGAGCAGATGAAAAGGAGCAGGTCTGGCTGCAGCAGGAGAATGTAGAAGAGGAGGTCAGAAAAGAGAGGCTATTGAAATATTGCTGAACTTAGGTAATTGGCTCCTTTTTTAAGATCTGTACATAGTAAGTTATCTATGTTATTCTTTGCAACTACTTACATACCAGTAGCAGACCTGGAAGTCTGTAACAGACCATGACATCTGTTTATTTAAGACTATTTTAATCTGACTTTAATCTTACTGATACTGTTTAGTATAAGGACTATTTTTTTCTTTGACTACTACCTGAACCTAATGATAGATGCCAGTTTTGCCTGATTCTCTGGGTGCTAGCAGTACACCAACATACACACATTCAAAGCTTTCTTCAGGTTTCTAAATAATAAAATGCTCTCTTTGTCTAATAGAACATAATAAAATTGTTCACTTCTCTTGCACAGGTTCAAAACATCTTCCTTCTGTGGAACTAGACTGCATCTGAGCTAGTAAGATTGTTTTGGCTTATTTGGTGGTCATGGTGAAATTTGCTAGTGAGGTAAAGACAAAGAAACTACAGTTTCATATAAATCTGGTCCTTTTGCAGTGGAATTTTTTGAGAAGAGGTGCAAACTTGGAAAGCAACACAGTGATTTTCTTGATGCACCGTTGTAGAAATACTCTTGTCCACAATGGTAGTGGAACTGTACTTGTTTTACAAAACAGACAACATGGAAGTGTATGTTTTCAAGCAGCTCCTTCCAAATTTTCCTAATCTCTGCAGGTGTGGCCATGTGTTGGGGTTGACAAACATTTTTGGCCTGTAAAGGCAGGCAGTAATTGGATGTGTCTATGGGTGGTGATATACTTGTTGGTTTGGGGGTTTTTTGTTCTTTGTTTTTTTCTCCCCATGTGGTCTGGGACTCGTTCTTCTGCAGATGGGTTTGAAGCAGGTCTGGGATGATAAATCTGCCTCCTGGATTGTGTGGCCATACGGAGCACAGCCTTTAGCCAGCTGGATAATCCCTCCTTGAAACAAACATATAACTGGTTTAACTAGTAACATAGTCTGATGTCAACATGAGGCACCTCTGTATCTTATCTACGGTTTTAATGCTCCTTTGAGATACTAAAGTTCCTTATAATTTCACAGTCACGAAACTTAAGACTCAAGCAAGTGACACAGATCACTTATGCTGTGAAATGGTAGCTTTACAGCTCTTTTGGTTCTAGAAATTAAAGTGCTTTAAATGCAGAAAGCTAGTTCTGCTAGCTTTGGAGTTACTGGTAACTGAACAAGCATAGTCTTAGGCTTTCAACTGAGTAAAATTTGAAGCACTTTTTCTTTCCCTTAAGTACTGAAATTGGTATTTTTTTCTTCTTAAAAAGAAAAGGGAGGACTGAACCTCTGCCTAACAGCACAGGTTAATTCAATTGCAGTGCCAGTTCTGTGACATACCATCAAGCTTCCATTGATAGTGTCATAACTTAATGCCATAATAATAGGGTGATATTGCATCATTAGGTTATTCTAGGGATTGTTGTGGGATGCAATGAAATTGGGAGTGTTTCCACTGTAACTGGAACCCACACCAAGCTTTCATACTGACTGAAAGAATTTAGATTTCAGATACTTTTCTAGATTGTTGCAGTCCTTTTTCTAAACTTTTTTTGTGCTTTTTTTTATGGTGTTCTCTGTTATTGTATTACTCTTGAGTTTAGGGGTGGATTTTTTTTGAAGAAAATGGTTAATATCCCTGTGGTCAGGATTATCCTGGTGATTCCTTCCAAAACACCAAGGAGGAACAGAAGTTATGTAGTGGGATTTAGCCATAGGCAGAAAGAGAAATGGGGTTGGGGAGGATTACTGTGTGTTGCACAGGGGGAAAGGGGACCCAGGGTGATGCTCAGCAGGCCTGGATGGCTTCCTAAGGGAAGTGATTTTTAAATCTTTGGGAAGTTTTGATGCAATAGCAGATGCATAGCAGGGAACAAACCAGCAAAGGAGGATGTGGGACCATCTGACCCTTTGCAGGGTAACTCGCTCTGGTTTGAGAGGAGCTAAGAACGGCTTCTGGTTTGTGGGCTGTTCTATGTAATTAGCCTTATATTAGATGTTCAGTTACTGCTTTTATAGTTACAAGTGTGTCAAATATTTATATGAACTGAAAATCTGGTAAAAGCTTGAATTGAGGTGCCCGATCTGCGGTCAGCATCTTTCTGTGGGTACAAGGCGGTCTTTGCTAAGGTTGTTTTAACACAAATTCTTAATTTGCTGTGCTGACACGGTGAGACCAGTTCTTGTCTCTGAGGCGTTACTGTGACAGGCGGCAGGAACAGGACGTGCTTGGCCCGCCCGCCTTTCCCTTCACGTCCCCGTGTTTGCACGTAGGGACCTAATCCGAGATTTTTACTGAAAAAAAAAAAGGTTTTTTCGACGGGACCGAGGTAGGGGC